TGGTTAGGGTGACTGGATCCCACATGACTGACTACTCAGTTTGAGTCCCAGATTTGGCAGGTTGAAAAACATACTGAGCATGTGTGGGTGAGTGCCCAAAATCCTAAAAGAAGGGAGAAACAGAGAGAAGGATTTGCTGCATGACCATCCTCCCATGAGGGGATGCTTTCATACTTTCTCTCTCTCTGACAAGCACACTGCCCTCTGACACATTTTTTTTTTTTAAGAAAAAGACAAAAAAAGAAAGAAAAAGAATATCACTGCACAAAGAAGTACTTGTGAGAAAGAAATGATTGAGGTATCCCCTCTGTGGTTTTGCATGAACCTCTGACAACAAGTAGATTAAGGAACTGGAGATTCATGACTGAGTGCAGCCAACCTTTCTACTTGGTCTACATTTACAGATGAGGAAACATGGACAGAAGGCTTATGGCTTTCCCCAGGTTACATCACAGCACTCAGGTGCTCTCAGGGCTCAACAGTTTCTAGAACCTGAGTCTCTCTCCTTGTTTTCTAACTATGTAAGTACTCTGAAAATCAAGAACACTAGATCACAGACTGCTTTTGCACTAAAATTCTAGAGCTCCTTCAGAAGCTGATTGCCTCCTCCCTGGGTGAACAACCGTATCTCAATGTGTAATCACCATCAGTAGCCACACTCAAGGACAGGGGCTGTACTTTCTCTTTAGGCAGTCCTGGCAGCCTGCAAGGTCATTGACAGATCTCTAATAATGACTGAGTAACTCAAAATATGTGGATCTCGGGGGGCCAGCAGTTAGCATAATGGCTGTGTCGCTGGACTCCCATGTAGTCGACCGCAGTTCGAGTCCTGGACCCAGTGGCTTAAACTCACACCAGGTGTGTGTGCATGCATGCCCAAGATTCCGAGAGGAAAAAGGAGGAGAAGGGATTGCGGTGTGACCAACTCCTTGGGGGGGTGATTTCTCGCTTTCTTTCTCTCTGTCTTTCTGGTGAGTGCACGCACCCTACAGCAAAAGCCCCTAAAAAAAAAAATAGTCTTCTTAATTCTAATGTGACTATGGAGCTGTCTCTCCCTAGAGCACTTTGTATACTTCTATTAATTTTACTATACCAAAATAATTTTTTTTTTTTTTTACTATACGGCATGCCCTTGCCACTAACCTTCCCTGAAGCATGCTTTAGATAGTGGACTTAAGTGACTAAAGTTGTTCAAAATGGAATTTACCTTTTCTACAATTTAATCTTCTGAAAAACTAATGTTATCTTACACAAGGGTCACTCTCTTACACTAGGTTTCATACCCAGTTTTCGTTTTTTATTTCTGAAGCAGATTCCTTGCTTTGAAACTCTGTCCTTTTTCTATACAATGGCTAGTCCCAACCACTAAAGAGAATGTGGGACCTCCTCTTGAGCCTGATTTAAGGCCTAATATGTAAGTGCTTGATCCCACTTTTCTGGTCCCTACCACCAGCCCATTTTCTATACACAGCCAAAAGACCTCCACAAGAAAAACAAAGCCCTTGCTCTTGTACTTCCAGACAAATAGGGAGATGGGGAAGGGGAACTGACACTTCTCAAGCATCTACCATGTGTTAGATATGAGGCTATGTGCTTTCATAGACAACATCTTCTTTACTCTCCACAAGATATGTTTTGTATTACCACTTTATGAATAAGCAATGTAATAGATTACAAGAGACTAAGTAATTTGCCCAAGTCACCCATTAGAATTTGAAAAGGGCAGAACAGAAACACATGCCTTTCAGTCTCCAAAACCTGTTTTCTTTCCATTGGCCCACACGGACCTTGACTTCCAATTCATTCCAATTCATGCCTCTCCAAAATTCTCAGCACCTAAAGTCTTAGACGTTCATTGTCCTTCTTCCCTGACTTTCATACCCTATTTATGTGTCTAAACAAAGGTTCTATACATTGTCTTAAAATATCTTTGCATCCCGAGAAGGATAGTACGCTCCTATTCATACTTGATGGTTTCCTGTTCAGTGAGTTTCAGCATTCTTCATTTGCCTTTTTCTTTGCCAGCTCATCACATCTTGCACTGAGGGTTCTTAAATCTTAGCAGGTGCTCTCCTTCCCAGAGGAAGCTGTAGCAAGAGGGCAGGATATGAGCCCCATTCTCTGGTCATGTTTTTTAGTGTTGCCATTCATTGACTTGTTTCCCAAAGGTCCTGTGACTCTTTGTTGTTCCTTGAAGATCTGGGCTGGGAAACCAAATACCAAGTAAAAGCTGCCCTTCTGTTGGTAATACAAACTTTTAGCCACATCTCTTATAGGAGTGAATGAGATGTGGGGAAGTAGGAGGAAATGAAAAAGTATCACTTGGCCACAAAAAGCAAGTAAAATTGGATTTCATTTTAAAGGGCTACCATAGAGCCCCACTGTGGTGGTGCAACTAAGATTGTGGCATGAGGACCCTGTCAAAGGTGTCTGTCTCTTCTGTGTGTGTGTGTGTGTGTGTGTGTGTGTGTGTATATAAACTCTAATAAAAATGAAAAATAGGGACCAGCAGTTAGCATAATGGCTATGTCACTGGACTCCCACGTAGTCGACCACGGTTCGCGTCCCGGACCCGGTGGCTTAACACTCACGCCGGGCGCATGGGTGTATGTGCCCAAGATCCCGAGAGGAGAATGGAGGAGAAGGGATTGTCGCGTGACCATCCCCCCTGGGAGGTGATTTCTCGCTTTCTGTCTCTATGTCTCTCTCTGTCTGCCTGGCAAGTGCACGCGCCCTATAGCGAAAACTTCTCTAAATAAATAAATAAATAAATAAATAAATAAATAAATAGAAGGCTACAATGAGATCACAACCATTACATCACTGAATTGTTCCCAAAGATGACAATTGCCAGAAGAGTGAAATTTCTAGGAGACAATTTAAATTCAAGTGGAGTTGCTTAGAGCTAAGATATTTCTGGCCAAAGTTCATGCATGAATACTGGAGTCAGAGCAAAAGAGTTGCCCAAGTACCCATACAGTGCCCTCCCAATACCCCCTTCACTCTACCCTGCTGTCTCCGCTATATTTCTCTGACTCCTTGATTTTTTTTTCAATGTGGCTAACTATTTTTTTCCAAAACAGAAAGCAATGTAATAGTCTTTGTTACCTTTTCTGTGACCTTTCAGATCAAGTCCAAACACCCCCACTAGGTGTTCTAGGCCTTCTGAAATCTGGCGTACTCTCTATGACCAGTATGGCTCTCCCCTTGAATTAGGATGTTCTCTTCAATGGTCTCCCATGATTGCCTGCCATATTCTCACTTTCCTTTCTGAATTGCTCATGCTCTTTTCCCCACCTAAGACAAGCACTTACCAACATCTGTTCATTTTTATTGTGTTTTTTGGTTTTTTTGAAAACATCGCTGACGAATTTTTTTTTTTTTTGAGAGGTTTTTGCGATAGGACACATTCACTCGCCAGGAAGACAGAGAGAGACAGAGACAGAAAGCGAGAAATCACCCCCCAGGCAGAGTGGCCACAGCACAATTCCTTCTCCTCCATTCTCCTCTCGGGATCTTGGACACACAAGCACACGCACCCAGCATGAGGTCCGGGACTTGAACTATAGTCAACTACATGGGAGTCCAGCGACATAGCCATTACACTAACTGCTGGTCCCTCTGATAAACCTTTGCACATCATATCCTACCCATTTTACTCATAGGTGGGTATTTTGCTGATTTTGCATAACAAGGTGAAGTTTAGAAATGCATGTGTGATGTTGCGGCAGAACGGACTGTATTCAGTATCACATTTTTCTTAGAATGTGCTAAGAATATGAAAAGCTTAGAAAAATATAAAAAGAAATAAAACTACATGATAATAGCATAAGGAAGTATAAATTCAATCTTAACAGTATCAAATAAATCTACCAAGATAAAAGCAATTATTTGCCTTGGCATTACATCATTCTCTGAGATTTCTGGATTGGGAGAAAGAAACAGTTTTTATAGTGGCAAAAATGAGGAAGGCTGTGTGAATCAATTAATTATTCCTCAATAAATTTTATAAATCTAGAAGTTAAATTTATGTTCTTCCTATGAACATTTTACTTTAATTTTATAAAACGAGGGCATTTGCAATTGGCTTGAAAATTTTTATCTTTTACGTAATTACTATTTGGTTTGAAACTAATCTTTATCTAGCTTCTAAACCAATTCTAAAGGTTTGAACAGGAGTCCTGCAAAGAGGTTCTCACCCATTTTTGTTTCTTTTGTGAAAAGGGAGTGACTAAGTGATTTTATGACTTCCACTTCGATAAAATTGCTCTACCCTCACTCTCATGGCTGTCTGTAGCCCTGCTGAATGCCATATTATTTAAAGCCAAACTGTTGATCTAAATTTCATTGGGAGACTCTGAGAGAGCAGAGGTTTCTGCATTCCCAGGGTTCCACCTTGTGACACATGACCCTGAGGCCTTTTGTAGGTCTGGCCAGAGAGTCGAGTCAGATTGATAACATAGTCAATATGCAAGAGTGTTGTGGTCCCCATGGAGAAGTCCACTTGAATGAACTGACACGTGAGCAAGTTGTGAACGGTAAATACATTCATTTTTATTTCTGAAATAATAACTAGAGCTCTCTTTACATATATATGTTTTAACACATACAACACAGCCAGGCACACAGCAACACACAAATAGTATAGCTACAAGAATATGTTTCCTGCTTCACACATGAGCAAAACAAAATCCTAGAAGCTAAACTATTTTACTGGAGGTCTAAAATAGATGAGATGATAAGCACATTAAATAATTCTCTTCCTTTTCTTCTGTTCCCTAGTTTTAGAAAACCTGCCATGACTTAAATGACTCAAAGTAGATCCAGTGTTTCTCCTGCCATCCTACCCTTTCAGTTTTAGCCAACCTTACCCATGATTTTGGATCTACTCCCATTCCTAAGGCCCCTAGGATCCGTGTAGGGTCATGGATGACTGGAGCACAGAGCCACAGAGCAGGCCTCAGGAGTGAAGGCAGACCAAGTCCAGCAGAGCCCCCACAGCCTCAATCTGGCCAAAGAGGCCACACAATGGTTTGTGGTTTGATTATTAATCTTGCCAAGATTGACCAAGAAGCTAGCCTCTAATGGGTCACAGGTAGTTCAATGGATCAGTAGATGAGCTACCTTAAAGCCCAGTGGCTAAATGTTCTCCTCCATTTTTCTTCAGCAAACATTTTCACACCCAGAGCTTAGGTGACACTCTTGACATGAAGGGAAAGTCTTCCAAGGGATCATGGCTGTTCTTCCTTATTTCAGTCTGCTTCCCACGTCCTTCTCCTCCTCTTAGAACCCACTTCTCAATGCCAGGACATAGGACATTCATGAGGAATGGGGCAGCCTAGACAAAGTGGTCAAAACGTGGGTTAATAGTAAGAACCGTTGCTGATATTTACTGACAACTGAATTTGAGCCAAGCAATAATCTAGGCATTTTTAATGTGTTAGCTCACTTAATACTGAAATCACCTGGCAAGTATGTACCATTATTACCCTCATTTTATATCCTGGGAAGAATATACTATTATTAACCTCTGATGAGGAATTGGGAGCATTGAGTGACTTCCTCAAGGTCACACGGTAAAAAGGTGAATCTCCACTCTGCATTGTTTCTGTGCCCTTTGGCTTCTCTGTCCTGCACCTCAACTCTAAACTCCATGTCCAGTGCCCTCTCTTCTCCTTCACTGCCTAAATGTGGTCTTTAGAATTGACTATGCTGCTCTGAATTTACAACTTTACCTCATAAACCACATTGCTTCCCTCAGGGTGTTTTCTCAGTCAGTCCCATTTTTCACTGGGAGATAAAGAACTTTATCTCTTTTAAGTGAATCTCAGGCATAAACAAGTATGTGGAAGACATTTTAGAGGAACGGAGAGCCTACCTGCCGATGTGTGGAACAGCCTGTTTGTATCATATTAAAGGCCTGCCCATTATATGAACAAGAGGGCAGAGTGCTGTGCAGCTGCTGACCCCTCTCCCTGCCTTCCAGGATCAGTTCCCTCTGCACTTGAAGCAAACTTTCCAGTTTTCACACGCCTGTGGTCTCCCCCCAGCCCCAGGGGCCACGTGACAAACCTGTCTCATTCCTGTTTCTAATAACCCTGACCTGAGATCACTGAAGTATGAGGACCTCCCACCCACACTGGCAACCTTGATTCCCACTGTAAGTCCAGTTCTGTCTCCCACCCCCATTCTCGCCCCTGGAATTGCGCCTGCATCCTGAAACTCTGTCAGTCTTCAATTCTGTATTGATTTAAGGTCTGAAATATTGCCTTTCCCCCATGGTGTAGCCTTGCCCTAGATGGAAACCCTGCCTTGTGCTTACCAAACCCCCCTGTCTGAGCTGTAATTTCTTCCCTAAATTCTATATTTGGAACCCCTGTCTCTGCTACCAGCTTTCCATTCTGGATTTTGGAGCATCTATTACTGTGAATGTCCTACCCATGTTCTCTAATACTTGTTGGGTCCCGAACTTGGTCTCCCATCATGCCAGCTGTGGTAACAGAACCGTTCTGATAACATGTGTGTCCAGACAAAAACCCATAGGACCCAATTGCTGAGAAAATTCAGTAGAGACAGAGCCAATTACGGAGGATATGCTGAAAGAATGCAATCCTCAGTTTACCACCTACCTCATAGGTTCAAAAACAGAAGTTGAAAGTTAGAGAATTATGTGATGAGGGCTTCATTAGGAAATCCTGTCAATATAGCCTCACTTCCTTCCTACTTACTCCTAATACTAATATAAGCCTTTAGGACTTCCCCAACTGTTATAAGTAGTATAGTCCCTGATCTTCACTTCTAAAGGAGTTCTCCCACTTTCACTATAGCCAACCGAATATATCTAACTAGCCACAGATAAGGTCACAATCACACTGCTCCTCTCTGCATGGCAGGATACTAAATGGCTTATATCTCCATGAAGTAGGATCTCCTCTACCTGAGACAGTCTGATAAACCTAGAATAGGTTATTGTCCAATTAGAATCTTAATTGAAAGGACAGCTGGGTTTTTAATAAGTCATTTACATTAGTGACTCCCAATTAGTGACAAATCAAGAAATGGTATAGTGATATTCCACCACGGAGAAACCCTATCATATAGACTAAGAAACAGGCAGAAGACAGAAGGGTCAATCTTATTAAAGCACTAATATAAAAATCTAAATGTGAGGATTAATTAAGGACTTTATGCCAGCATTTCCCTCTCTTTGTTTTCCCAGAACTCCACACATGCCAGTCAGTGTATAAGACAGAACTCTCTTGATCTCTCATCCTCTCCCTGGGACCATGTGCCAGCATCTCCTCCAAGAACATCATAAGCTTTATAGGATCTGTAACAGAGGGGATCCCTTAAACGTTCTTCCATCACAGTGTCTTTGGTTTCAGACAACTGTTTCAACTCATGATTTGCCCCATTGTTCAATATATCAGTCGTGACTCAAAAGAGAAAGAATGTAAAAGAGAATGTGACAGCTTCCAGGTGGCAGGGAGGGAGAGCCTGAGACTTTCTTTCTCTGCATCTTTCTCCATGCAGAAAGGACATAAAGCCTCACCAAGATGAAACAATTACAAAGGGAGGTCACCCCTACCCATGTCCCAATTTCCTCTCAAGCTTCTGGCTGCAATTTTGTGATGTATTCTCCCCTTCCTGGTTACCTAATATTTGTTTTCCCCTCATTTCACCCATGTAGAAATGAGTCTCAGGGGTTGGCTATGAGTAGGCAACTAATTTGCCACCATCCCACTTACACTCTCTTAGGAATGATTCTGGACCCCCTCCACTAGGGAGAATCAGATCTGTTGTTTTGTGATTTTAGTCAATGAAGTCTTCTTTCTCTTCAATGGAGTTATTATAAGTGTCACCACTCACTGTCAGTATAGAATGAAGGTATGTGAGTGTTATAGCCAGCAAGAGCATGTCCCTACCTCAGGGCAGGTACAACTACAGCATCCTCTTGCTGAAGACAGAAAATAAAAGTAGTGTGCTTAGAGTTTGGTCATGTGCACTGAGTTGGCATAGACTTTAAAAAATATGAACACAAACCTTCAGTTGGAAAAACACTTGCACATCCCTGTTTATTGCAGCATTATTCATAATAGCTAGGATATAGAATCAACTCAAATATCCAAGAACAGATGAGTGGGTTCATATACTCTATATGTGGCACATATACTCTATGGACTACTACTCAGCCATAACAATCAATGAGACCCTGACATTTGATACAAAGTGGAAGAATATGGAAGATTTAATGCTGAGTGAAGCAAGTCTAACTATTAAAGACAGGCACTGAATGTCCCCACTTAATATAAACTAAATGCACTTTATAGCAGAAACGGAAAGATTGGAAGGTACATTAGCAGCGAGAGTAACTGTATATACTAGAGACAGTATAGAAAAGAGTGGATAATAGCAGGTGAGGGGCCAGCAGGGGATGAGATGGTTAAGGGGACTGAACTCCCACATGACCTGACCATAGTTTGGGTCCCAGATGTGGTGGCTTGTTTTCTCACTTTCTGTCTCTCTCTCTCTCTCTCTCTCTCTCTCTCTCCCCCTCTATGGTCAAATTAAAAATAAATATATTAATAAATAAATATTAAGTTAAATAAAAAAAGAAAACACACTTAAAAAATAGTGGGTGGGTAATAGGGAATGGGGGAGATCAGGGAAAAAACAAAAACTTTAATAAGCGCAAAAGTCAAAATTTATCTGTTGATAATAATGTATATGCTAATGCCTGACTTGATACCATGCGCCTGTATTCATGCTGGGTAAAACCATGTTGTACATTATAAAGATACACTCACACGCGTATATAAAATTTTTTAAAAGAAATGCAAACACCTTTTCATTCATGTGCTGGTCCACAAAGAAATTTTCATTTCTAAAAAATAAGTCCTTCCTTCCCCCTCCTACCTCATCCCAGTATCAGGGAGCAGATAATCATGTGCTTACAAGGGGCAGAGAGGAGCTTGATACAACTTGTAAGTTAAGTTTCTCCTTGAGTTTTTAATACTCACATTTCATCCTCAACGAATCATTAATTTAGATCCATTTGTTGGGCTTAATGATGCATTCTAAATATGGGGAGGGAAAACAGAGGTAACAATGAGTAATGATATCAACAAAAAGGACACAGTAGGGGACTTCAAAAATTCATGGAGGGACCAGCAGTTACATAATGGCTATGTTGCTGGACTAGTCCCAGACCCGGTGGCTTAAACTCACGCCGGGCGCGTGTGCATGCGTGCCCAAGATCCCGAGAGAATGGAGGAGAAGGGATTGTGGTGTGGCCATCCTCCCTGGGGGCTGATTTCTCACTTTCTGTTTCTCTGTCTCTCTCTTTCTGGTGAGTACACACACCCTATAGCAAAAACCTCTCCAAAAAAAAAAAAATCATGGAGATGGAATTACAGTATGAGCTTATTTTTTGGTATAAAAAATTTGAAATCCATGCGTAGTTTTTTTCATAATATTCATTATTCATTAATTTCTTAAAAATCCTTGTCATACTTATATTTTTGTATATACTTAAGCCTAACTAGAGATTAAAAAATGTGAACATAAGGTCATGAAGAGAAGTGCCCAAATGGACACAGCTCACAGAATAAAATTATCATTTTTCACTGAATTTCACTAGTAAAATTCACTAGTATCACTACTTTTACATCAGCTAAAAACTAAAAAAGAAACAAAACTTGCCTATAAACCGTGACATACCATTGATTATAAGATACATTCCAAGTTCATAAATGTTAAAAGATGAAGAAAAAAATTTATAGACTTAGTGAACTATGATACTAAAAGTCATATTCAATACTAGATAAGCATAAATGTTAATTCTTAATGTGTCCAGGAAGTTTTTGTTTTAAAGAGTCTATTGGTTAAACAAAAAACTTCTAACACGTCAATATTGACAAGTTCAGTCGGTGCCTTAAACACAGGTAACCAGGTCAAAACCTTCTTCAAGATCAATAAGTACATGGATACTTCAATCCAAAAACATAGTTTATTGGAAAGAGTCTTAAACAGGAGCTTGGAAAGAGTTTTCTATGTCAGTGGTCCTAGTTGCAATTCTGCTCCTAATTATCTGGGTGGGTTTGTGCACATTGTATAAATGCTCTGAGTCTTGGTTTCCTTCCTTGTAAAATCGGTAAGATGGACTAGGATCATATTCCAAACTCACCTCTCATTTCCCAGAGCTCATATTTTATGCGTCTATGACCCTGAGTTTAATGTGGTTCCATTCTGACCTTCACTTTTAGCATGATATTCCAAATTCATTGAATAAAGAAATAAAGTATACCCCATTGAGTCCCGTTACTAAAAAATCTGAAGAACTAAGCTTGTATTTGTCTCTGCATAACCAGAGAGTTATCTGAGCCCTCAGTGTTGAGACTAAGAGAGAAGCTTACCTCTGCTGCCTTTGATTTCCCCTTCAGGGAGGACATCCTCATTCTTAAAGCATCTCTGATCTAAAGGAGCAAAGACGGTGAGAAATAAGATGTTGAAAGAAACAACAGACATCCCAAGGCTCAGACTCATATTCTGAAACTTTGAGACCAGTAACCCTGGAAGGAGCAACACCAGAGGGCTTGGCATAGTACCAGGCAAGTAACAAGACTTGGATAAAAGTTTATATATAATTGCAACCGGAGTGAGAATTAAGATTCGAAATGTGCTCATGGTTTTTATTCTGTTCATTGGCAAAATTCACAGCGCCTCCTGCTGACTTGATAGAGAGCAAGAAATGAGAACGGATAGTTCCTCCCATTCCTCCTCATAGCACATGCCCTGAGCTCTCTTCAGAAACTCAGCTCCGTTGGACCATATTCTCTAATCAAAGCTCAATCATCCTCTGCTTCCCCAGGTACATAGAACTCACTCATGATAAGTAAAGCAAATTCCAGTTACCTTTTGGTCCATAATAGTTCCAAACAGCAAGATGAAGAAACCCTGTAGCAAAATTCAACAGAATCATGAAGGACACTTGTTCAAAAAATATCCCAGTTGTTATTTTAACATCACTCTTCTAGATCCTTTTTAGGCAGTTATTGGACATTAAAAACTTAAGTTTCTACTGATGCAAATAAAAATGTCTTCCTTTTGAGTCTACCTGTGCTTTCAGAAAAGCATCCTCTAATAGAACTGTGCATGAAAGCTATTGATATTTATTGTATGACTACTGATATAGGATGGAATTTTTACCTCATTAAATGTTTTTTACTGGGACCAGCAGTTAGCGTAATGGCTATGTCACTGGACTCCCACGTAATCAACCGCGGTTCGTTTCCTGGACCCGGTGGCTTAAAACTCACGCTGGGCGCATGTGCGTTTGTGCCCAAGATCCCGCGAGGAGAATGGAGGAGAAGGGATTGCGGCATGGCCATCCCCCCGGGGGATGATTTCTTGCTTTCTGTCTCTCTGTCTCTGTCTGGCAAGCGCACGCGCTCTATAGCAAAAACCTCTCCAACCGCAGCCCGCCATCAAAAAAAAAAAAAAAAAAAAAAAAAAAAACTCCCCAAAAAAAAAAAAAAAAATGTTTTTTAATGTTCTCCCTAATATTGAGGCAGCTGTTCTTAACTCATGATAGTAACACATGAAATGGAAATTTATCATTCAAAATTGAATCATAGAAAGCGTCCTGAGAAAATGAAACTTGTATTCTAGTCTATTTGGAGTTAAAAGTCAGTAAACAGGAAACCAAGACTTCTGAGCTGAAGAAATTTTTGCACAAAAGAAACAGAAAATTATGGAGCCTCTAAGACCAGGGTCTCTTTCACTATCTCAGAATATTTTCATGGTAAAGAAATATTGGTCAGATTACTAAAAATTTTAAAAGTGAGCCACATGGAAATTTGGCTGAAAAAGAGAATTCAATACAAATAAAGTTGTTTGATATTTTTCTTTCTGTTAAGAAAAGAGAAATATAAATGATTTGAAAAAGAAATAAAGGGCAAAATAAGTAAGAAAGAGGGTGAGATCATTAGTCAATAACCTAACTTCAAAGTGGGAAAATTTATGAGTCCATGAGCTTTTTATTTCTACAAACAAATAAGTCAAAAGTTTCTTTTTAAAGCAATGCAGCAGGGGGACCAGCAGTTAGTGCAATGGCTATGTCACTGGACTCCCACGTAGTCCACCGCAGTTCATGTCCCGGACCCGGTGGCTTAAACTCACGCCGAGCGCGTGTGCGTGCGTGCTCAAGATCCTGAGAGGAGAACGTAGGAGAAGGGATTGTGGCGTGACTATCCCCCCTGGGGGGTGATTTCTCGCTTTCTGTCTCTCTGTCTCTCTCTGTCTGTCTGGCGAGCGCACGCACCCTATAGCAAAGCAATGCAGCAGGAAGAGTAAAATAAATGTTCTCCATGGTCATTAAAAAATGATGAATAAGATGTATAATTGACCTGAGTTGGCTTCTTTTTAATGTTTGCCTTATATACTTTATCATGCTTTTAAATAGAGTAATATTGGCATATTAATAGAAATACCTTCCTACTTCATTAAGTAGTTATATTATTTAAAGCAACAGTCAGAAAATTTTTTCTACCAAGAACTGCTCGAGATCCTGAGAGGAGAACGTAGGAGAAGGGATTGTGGCGTGACTATCCCCCCTGGGGGGTGATTTCTCGCTTTCTGTCTCTCTGTCTCTCTCTGTCTGTCTGGCGAGCGCACGCACCCTATAGCAAAGCAATGCAGCAGGAAGAGTAAAATAAATGTTCTCCATGGTCATTAAAAAATGATGAATAAGATGTATAATTGACCTGAGTTGGCTTCTTTTTAATGTTTGCCTTATATACTTTATCATGCTTTTAAATAGAGTAATATTGGCATATTAATAGAAATACCTTCCTACTTCATTAAGTAGTTATATTATTTAAAGCAACAGTCAGAAAATTTTTTCTACCAAGAACTGGGTAGTAAATATTTTAGGCTTTGTGTGTTGTACAGTCTCCGTTGCTACAATTTAAACTCGCTGCGGTAACTCAAAAGCAGTCACAGGAAAAATGTAAACAAATGAGCATGGCTGTGTTCCAGTACAACCCTGTTTACAATAACAGAGAGTAGGTCAGAGTTTGCCAACCTCTGATTAAAAGTGTAATTAAAAACAAGAGCTTGCCAAATGTTGTATTACTCATAGATAGGGAAAGCTGCCTAGCTAATGACAGCTTCCCAAAAGTACAAGCTTAGTAGCCAAGAGGGAGTGAACCAACTTTGAGTGGGAAAATCTTGCCAAATCAAGTATGCTAGAATGAGAAAAGAGGATAGAGAGCATTCTATATCTTTATTTTAAAGATGAGGAAGTTAAGGCCCAGGAGAAAGTGACATTCCCAAGAGCAGGTAAAATATGGTAGGCAAGATCTATTTTTATCACTAATACTTTTATTTCATAGGACTACCAGGGAAGAGATATGGGAACTCTTGACTGGTTAACATCCAAAACGAATGTCAAAGACCATCTCTTTATACGATGGAAATCAGCGGCTATGGCACTGAGTTCTCCAATCTTGAAGAAAGGATTTTAAAAATTGTGCTTATTTTGAGGCATAATATGTGCCTTACTCATCCCTAGCCAAAGAACAGCCCTCTATAAGTGAAGTTAACTTCTGACATTGAAACTTTAGGAGGAATAAAGGTGGATCCATGCAGATAAAAAGGAGAGTCCAGCCCAACCATCCTGATCAGTTCAATCTAACTAGACAAACAGTGTGATAGAAACCAAAGCCAAATACTCCTGATACTGGGGTGGAAAGGGAATGGAAGGAACATTTGTGTTCTATAATTTTAAATCATAGCCAATTTTTGTTGTCAAGCCAGAATAAGGCAGAAAAGTCTCTTTCATGAAACTTACCTGAAAAGCATTGAGCAGGGCAAAGATTATGTGGAACATCAAGGAAGTGCCTTCTATGAGAGTGGCTATTCCAAAACCCCACGTCAGTCCCAACAGTGGAGTGAGAATGGCAACATTTTTGCTGATCCTCATAATTATGGCCACATCTTGAGACTGGGAACTGCCAATCGAGGGCTTCTGAGTGTTGACAGCAACAACCAAAACCACAATAAGATTCACGGCCACAATGACCAAGGCTGGGATGACAAATGCCAAAAGGGCTTTGGTATTTTTCCAGTTAAGCCAACAGGCCTCACATCTCACGTAGCCTTTCTGGGGTTCTGTGATAGCAACTGTGGTGACAGCAATGACCAATGGACACCCATAGCCAATGACAAAACCAATTGTCATCATTCGGGACTTCATCATCCTACGGAAAACGACCAGTATTCCATAGGTGATGAGCAGTGCTTTGAAGAGCATCCAGAAAAACAGAGAGAGATAGAAAAAATGGGTGAAAAAAGTCACTGCAACACACCAGTTGTAGTCCCGAGTCCTTCTATTAAAGTTGGAAGCTATGATGAACCACACGTTTGCAGTCAGGAGAGACACCGCTATGTTCACGATGCACACATGACGCATGTATGATATTTCTGTCAAAACCACCCGGGACCATACCATGGCTTCAATGATCAGGCAAATAACCAAGCTCAGAATTGAGACACTAAGCCCAATGCAGGTCACATAGTCCAAGACTTTGTCTGCTACAGACTGGGGGGACATTAGAATGGAGAAAGACATCACCACATTGGTGTAATTACAGCGGCATTTCACTTTGTTCATGACATCCAGTGTCGTTTTACACACTTTGTCATCCCACCTCCTTTTCCTGGAGTGCCAGCCAATACACTGGGCTTTGGCATTCCGGGATTTATTGATCTTTTCAAAGGTAAGTAAGATTTCTTTCAACTTGTCAGGTAAAACCACTGAAAGGACTAGACCAATTGTTGGTCTGGGAAGACTCACATTTTGCAAGTGGTCCTCTTTCAGAATGGCCCCCAAGGTTGGAAAAGCTATGCTAATGGCTTGGGATACATTTGGCGGCAACTTCCATAGCTCTTTCTTGGGAATTTCTATCATCCCTAAAATACCTTCTCTGGTATTATTCATATTCATGGAGATATGGAACCTTTGCTCTGAGGTATTACGGTTAATGAGAAACCCTTTTGTCTGAATGAAGAGTTCGTCCACAATATTCTCAGATTCATTGTGGATGTGGAGTTGTCCAGCAAACAAATTCACCGAATGTAACAAATCTGAGCTGGCATTCTTGTCAGGAATGAAGGCCCAGTTTGAAATGGCTGCTGTGTCAAGGATGTGATTGGCCACTTCACTATAACTCTGCAAAAGAGAAAGTGAATATTATACTAACAACTTACACATTACGGTACAAAGTTAGAAAGCTAAAGGTCAAATTAGCTGATCTTATTTGACATATATTTTCTTCAAATTACTTGTGTATTAAAATACTGCATTGATAAGGCTTCACAGAGGAAAAAAATTTTAAAATGCAAAACAATAAAAACTAAAATCACAGCTAAGGTACCTGCTTTATTTGCACCCAGAACACACTTCCAGATTGCAGGGTGGAACCCACGTTTCCCGTGAGATCTCAATGAGTGCTTAATGGAGGGGAAGGGGAATTGATTCTTCGGTAACCTAAGTTTGAACCGTATTCCATACAATATATATCACTTATCATAAAGAGTTCAAAAGTTCATTGACACATTAAAACATCCAGAAAGTTCTACCATAAGGAACCCTGCTTTGTTTAACCCAGAACTTTCTACAATTGCTATGCTACAAATCTCCCTTTTAAAAGTGGAGCCTCCACTAATGTTTCTCAGAATAGTTGTGTTGCACAAACATAATTTTGGAAACACTAAATTTAGCCTTGCTCCCAGCCGTTCTATGTGATAGTTTCTTTGAAATATTAAGCATGTACATGAATATATATTAAACAATGCTCCTGAGGATGGCACTGGTACAGCAGTAGCACAATAATCTGCACGGATGACCCACATGGGAAAGTTCCAGTTTCACATCCAGAGACCTCCCTGAACATGCTGGGTGTAGCATACCCATGACCCAGGGGCAGCTGAAGCAGGAGAATATCACAAAGTGGGGATGACTCTCTCTTCTTTTCTCTCTCATGCTCATGGAAGGAAGGAGGGAAGGAAGGAAGGAAGGAAGGAAGGAAGGAAGGAAGGAAGGAAGGAAGGAAAAGAGGGAGGGAGGAAAGGAGGAAGGAAATTTTTTTTAAAAGTTTACACTGGGGCCAGCAGGTGGCATAATGGTTAAGGTGCTAAATTTCTACATGGTCATCTGTGGTTCAAGTCCCAACCTGACACCTTGCTTTCTCACTTTCCTTTTCTCTCTCTCTCTCTCTCTCTCTCTCTCTCTCTCTCTCTCTCTCTCTCTCTCTCTCTCTCTCTCTCTCTCTCTCTCTCTCTCTCTCTCTCTCTCTCTCTCTCTCCCTCTCTCTCTCTCTCTCTCTTTCCTTGTATCTCTCTGGTGAGTGCACATGCCCAAGAGCAAATTTTTAAATAATAATAAATTAATTAAGTTAAATTAAACAATTCTTTTTTAAAAAAGTTCACACTTCTTTTTTCTTTGGAGAGGTTTTTGCTATAGGGTGCATGCACTTGCCAGACAGAGAGAGACAGAGAGACAGAAAGTGAGAATCCCCCCCCAGGGTGAATGGCCACGCCGCAATCCCTTCTCCTCCATTCTCCTCTCAGGATCTTGGGCACGCATGCACATGCGCCCAGCATGAGTTTTAAGCCACCAGTTCTGTGATGCGAACCGCGGCTAACTATGTGGGAGTCCAGCGACATAGCCATTACGCTAGCTGCTGGTCCCCCATAAAAAGTTCACACTTCTTGAAAATGTCCATAACATTGGCAAAATCAATAGATTGAATCAGTATGCAAAATTCAAGTGAAAGTCCTTACATCATTATGGTGTAATTGTTCTAGTTTTTACTCTGGTAAGTACATTTGAAACTGTTCAAATGCAAGCTTTTGAGAACCACATTGTCGGTTTTAATGAAATTAACAAAAAATACCTTCATTTTCTCTCGAGTAACATTATCAGACAAGTCTGTAGAAATATTTTTTAATAATTCCACTATAAATGCAATATTTCCAGATGTGACTTCTGATGATTTTACAGCATCAATTATGCAGGCATAATCAAGCGGGCAGTTCTTACGGATTCCTTGAGCCACATTGTCAATGCGTTCTGGGGTTTCATCATCAAAAATGGCCAGAGGTATGGATGATGCTGCCACAGAAAGGCGTGATACACTATTTAAGTCCTGTTGAAAAGAAAACATTCCTTCATTGAAAAATAATTAAGCACCTAACATGTGTCCGACCAAAGTAGCTAAAGGCACAACCACCCATATGAGGAAAATTAATAGAGAAGTAAGTGGTCTTAAGAAGGGGTTAGAGTGTTAAGAAGTAGAGCAGGTAAGATCAGGTCACAGATGGGAAGGGGAATTCACCCAAATCCCTGCAGCTGTGAGGATATTGCCATTTCCTAATGGAATTTGTTTCAGGGCAGTAGTTTTAGCTCAGTCCTCATAACTAGACAATTTTGTACATGATGTGGAAGAGAGGCCTCATGGAATCTCAGTAGGGAATGGTTTCTGAGATTGACTTGTAATTTGGAAAAGCTGAGAGTTCACTAATTAAAAGAATTATCTGCCCATGTCTTGATACTACTGCCTAGCATCCCTCAGAGTGTGACTTTGAATAGGGCAAAACAATATCTATTTCCTTTAACTACCTTTTAAATGTCACTGTAGTTGCAAGAACTTCTATGGGATGGCCTATGTTAAGTGACCGAGACCCCATCCTCAATCCCTTCAAAAACCACTGTTAATGTTTTAGCAAACGCAGAGATCTGTGTGCTTCCAAGAAACTGGAGGGAAATTAGAAGGAAATAGTCAATGACTGAAAAGATATAAGATAAGAAATTTAAATTTTAACTGAAATGTGTTTTATTTATTGAGTTTCTATTCCTTCTGGATCTCATATCTCTTCTTTCTTTTGGTCAAGTGATTAAAAACATTAGAAAAATATCAAAATAAATTTATTCTAGACATATTTAGTTGATTAGTTGATAAGCAGAACTCATGCAAAGTGGACTTCAGAGCTAAGATTTAAGTCTAAGCACTCATTTACACTGTAGCATAAATGAGTTTCAGGTATTTTTCAGGGGGAAGATATTCTGGGAGAGAGAGAAATAAGAGTGGGGAGAAGAGGGAGTACCTGATAATCTGGTTAATTAAGGAAGGACAAGAAATACATTTAACCCACTCTATATTTTTTCTAAGTCCAAGTCTGAGACATGTCATGCTGAACAGATAGCATTAATATTACCACTATCACCTTCAAATGGAATGGTTTCTGTGGCCAATAATATGCAAATGCGTCACCTTAAACAGTGTTTTCACAGAAAGACTTGTACATGTTTCTGTTGATTTTTGCCACTTTTTTTGATTACATATAAATCCTATTTCTCCATCAAAATTCTTAGCACAAGGCTGGCTGCAATTGGAAGAAGAAATGCAAGGTCCATGGCATTTCTCTGAAAAACAAAAAAGAAAGAGAAAACTAATTAGCATGTCCACACTCTGAGAGGGGCATCTAATTCATTCTGTGGACTTTTGGATTGCTTCTAGGAGGAAGTGACATTGAACTGTGCTGACAATAATAACTAAGCACTTCCAGGCAGTTTGTGAAGCTGGTGTTCAGGCAGCGTGGACAGCATTTGGAAAGGGAATTGCAGGTCATTAAAAAAGGCTAGTTCAGCGCGCTGAAGAGGCAAACAGCATGAGATGAGGATGGAAAGGAAAGCAGGGGGTAAGCGAGAGTGAAGTACCTTGACTGGTATGATAATATGAGAATTACCAGAAAACGTGACAGGTTTGTTTGGAAAGATAATTGACAATAGCCTAGAACAGGAGTCAGTAAACTTTTCTGCCAAGGCTCTCATAGACGGAGTTCCCCAATAAAGTACAAGAAGTCCACTTAAAACCTCATTTTATTTCAGACGCAGCCAATTCTCATTATCTACAGAAACTATGTCCTATAAGTCACTGTGAACACTGAGTAAATACTAAACCATGACTCCTAGGGCAATGTAAAGTACATTCCTGTGAGCTTCTGCTCACACCATTTTTATCAACTGATCAAACCTTGTTGTAAGTATATTTTTAAAGAATTATTTATTTATTTTAATTGTATTTGTTATTATTATTATTTTTTATTTTGGCCATAGAGAAAGGGAAAGTGAGAAAGCAAGCTGCCAGGTTCAGGACTCAAACTATGGTCAGCCATGTGGGAGTCCAGACCTCTAACCACCACACTATCTGCTGGCCCAACTTATTTATATATTCTTAATTTATATTTTAGCTTAAAACATCTCTCCTGGGGCCAGCAGGTGACTGACCAGGCTCAGCTGCAAACATGTGCATCAGGCAACTCAGGTTTCACATAGATCTATGCATGTCTGTGGTTGACCATGAAAGCATTAACAATGCCTCTACCACCTTCAAGGGGAATGGCTTCTATGGACAATAATATGCAAATGCATCACCTTAAAGTGAGTTAAGGGTTACAAATAAATTTCAGTAAATGGAAAAAACTTGCAGAAACAGAATCTGTAAATAAGAAGAATTGACTAAATATTCCAATAAACATCAAATCATATTTGTAGTGTATGTATGACCCATGCAATATTATTCATTGATTAATATGAAAATCAAATTTAACCAGGCAGTTTATATTTTTATTTGGTAAATATGGCAACCCAAGCCAAAAAATAAGTATTTTCAGCTTTGTGGGCCATGTGGATCTCTGTTGCAATACCCTCACTCTACCTGTGTAGCATGGAAGCAGCCAAAGATAATGTATAAATGAATAAGTATAGGTATGTTCCAATAAAACTTTGTTTGCGAAAACTGGTGGCAGACTTGTTTTGGCCCATGGGTCACAGTAGATTGATTTGAGGGAGGAAGACTAAGAATAAGTCTGTCAAACTATTTGCAGAGACAGTTGCCTTAGGATGGTGGTATTAGAATGGAAATATGATGCTGAGAACTCTTACAGAGCTAAAATTAATCAAATGAGGTGGCCCATCACCTGAAAGTCGATTGGATTTTGGCTTAGACTGCTCTCTAGACCATTCTATTAACTGAGGGGAAAAAAATGAGTTTGCATCTTTTCTTGACATCTACCAAGTGTTTTAATATTTGCAAGTTAGTTAACCAAAGTGGTTCTCAATTTCTTCATTCGTATTATTTTGGAGATTATGCCATAGTGTTGTTACAAACAATGTATGACTCAGCATCTTGTACAATACTTAGATCCATGTTGTCATAAAAGCTCAATAAATGCAAGCTACCTTTCTCACCTCATCCCGTTTCCAGTTCTGTGTCAATATAGAGATATATCTATCACCCAAAGTATATCTAGCCAAGACTGTGCAGGATAAAGTTATCTCTACTATGGGTGAGAACTACATGATTTCACTATATTACTACTAATGATTACCTTCTTAGTTTACTTCTCACTGAATGAAAGTGTCTAGTCTTATCCCCACAATATCCATTTTATGTCACTTCAGTAGCCCTCTCAGCACTAGAGTGTTGCGTACATTTAGGCATTCCAAAAATATCTTCGAATGAGGAATCATTGGAATTTGTCTTCTCTCGCTTCCTGTTTTCATTAGTTTGAACAGAAGTTCCTTTTAGGTTTGAAAATGGACTTTTGTCCAGTATTGTAGAGCACGTGTGAATATGTGCTTGCTGGCTTCATTGACTATGCCGCTGATAATGGTAAAATGGTAAGAAAAGCTATCACTCCTGATACACAGGGAGAACTTAGTCTTCATGGAGATTATTATTCAGTTGGAAAGCATGTGATCTGAGAACATGCTTACAAAGTCAATGCCCTTCCTTTATTTTGCCTTGCCTCCATAAGGATGAAGACTATTCTATAAGCCACTTACCTTGTAACCTTTCAGTCCTGGGTTTCCTTTCATGGTTTTGAGGTTTATATCCATCCTGAAAAAATACAAATTCCAGAAGATCCTCTTTACTGTGGGACTCTCCTCTATCATCTCAACTTGGAGGTCCCAAGTAAATATGAAAAGAAAATGTGTTAGAGACAAGGAAGAAAACTGCAGTAGATTCATGTTCTGGTATTGTAGAAACTTATTGAAGGTAATGGTAGTAAGATCACAGACAGAGAATACACTGCCCCCCAGGCAGGGGTAGAGTCTTGACAATGGTCACTTGTGCTCTGAAAGTCAAGTCAATGGATTGGGTACATCTTTTGGAAAGTTTAAGCATTCAGGGAGAACATAGAAATAACAACTATACTGCTAAGCTATCCTCTGCCTATTTTAACCATAAGAATGAAACTGAGCTAATGTGGTCCACCAGATACTACATATCCTTAGAAGGAAGAAATGAAAGATACTAGAAATAATAATGAAGTTGAAGCAATACAATCACAAAGTCGTTACACCTATTAAAAAAAAAAAAAAAAACTGCAAATATTGGGACCAACAGATGGCATAATGGCTACATCACCAGACTCCCATGTAGTAGACCACAGTTCAAGTCTGGACTTGGTGGCTTAAACTCATGCCAGGCTCGTGTGCATGTGTGCCCAAGATCCCGAGAGGAGAAAGGAGGAGAAGGGATTGTGGCATGGCCATCCCCCTTGGGGGGTGGTTTCTTGGTTTCTGTCTCTATCTCTTTCTGTCTTTCTGGAGAGCACACATGCCCTATAACAAACAAACAAACAAAACAAAACAAAACAAAACAAAACAAACTTGCAATATTACCCTTTAAAAAAAACTTTATGGTTTGGACTGGCAAGTGGCATTGTGGTTAAGGTGCTGGACTGGACCACATGGCCAACATGGTTTGAATCCCAGACCTGGTGGCTTGCTTTCTCACTTTTCACTCTCTCTCTTTCTTTCTCTGTGTGTGTGTGTCTCTCTCTCTGGTCAAAATAAAATAAATGAATAAATATGGGACCAGTAGTTAGTGTAATGGCTGTTGCTGAACTCCCATGTAGTCAACAACAGTTCGAGTCCCGGACCTGGTGGCTTAAATTCACACCGGGCGCATGTGCATGCATGCCCAAGATCCCTAGAGGAGAATGGAGGAGAAGGAATTGTGGTATGACCACCCTGGGGGTGATTTCTCACTTTCTGTCTCTCTCTCTCTCTGTCTTTCTGGAGAGCACACACACCCTATAGCAAAAACCTCTCCAAAAAAATTAAAAAATTAATAAATAAATAAAATTGAATAAAATAATTATTTTTTAAAAAAACTTCATAGTATATAGCAGGCAATTAAGAGTCAGAAAAATGAAACAACTCGTATAACTAATCAGAAGAAAAGTTAAGATCTGAACCTAAATTACTTAACTGCCAGGCTAATACTCTCAGCAGCTGTGGCTTGCAGAATTGAAAGGGGAAGGGCCCTGCCTCTCTCCACTTTCCTTTCTTCTCTTCTTTATAAAGTTATTATTAACAAGTGTAAGTTGTAGTCATTTGAAAATATTTTTTGAAAGTTCTAGAAGTTGATGTTTTATTCAGTGCTGAAGAGGAGCACTCTGGGGGAGCTCTGCCTGCATTGTGTAGTGGAAACTCATTAGAATAATAGTTTCCGAAGCAGTGTTCACTCGGGGGATGTGTAACTAACTAAGATTCCCTCTTCCTCAGAAAGTTCTAGCCAAGCCTATGAAAATACACATTTTGAAGGTTTAAGAGTAATTCGCCTATGTACAAGCATTACGAGGAGGCCCATTTCCCCAGCTAAAATTACATGCTATTCATTAGAAACCTGTCCATCTAGGGGAACTGAGGAATTTCTCTTGGGACACATAGAAATTGATCATACTTACTTTTATGTGTAACTTGAGTTTGTAGTGGGAACATTTTGTGGTCAGAAATAAAACTAAACAGCAAATCATGGTTGCCTGGCACTTCATTTTCACACTTTAGGATTGTCACCTGCAACAGAGGAAGAAGGTGGATGCAACGAAAAGTAAAAACTTCACACAACTAATACAATACTCGGCAGGCTTACTAGCCGCTCAGTGAACTCCAGTATCTTGGCGTACAGATATTCACGCAAAATCCACCTGCCCTAGGAAAGGACACCGATCTATGTTCTCAAGTTAGCTAAAATGTAAAGAGGAAAAGACTTCCAACTGTTGACCTTCCTATAGCAGAAGACAGGAATGATGGAAGCACCCAGAAAGATGTATGTTCACTAAAGCATCATTTCTTATCGTTTAATCCACAAGTTTCTTCCACAGTAACATGTATTAAAAATATCAATTGTCCAATCACTATTCTAAGCACTGTCTTTGCATTAACTCACTTAATCATATGATGTACTACTCTCTCCATGTTATCATCAGGGAAACTAAGGCTCAAACAGTCAAGTAATTAGGAGCCCAAAGTCACTCAGATAGAAAACGGTGGAGCTCTGCATTCGAACCAGATGTCATCCTTAATCTCTGTAGCAGGGTCTTCAGTAATGGTGCTATTGACATCTTGGATTAATATTATCTGTTGCTGGGTGTTGTCTTATAAATTATAGGCTATTTACTAGTATCCATGGCCTCTACCCAATAAATGCCAGTAACACCCCTCCCCTCCAATTGCAACAGCCAACAATGTCTCTAGTCATTGCCAAATGTGCCCTGGAAGAAAAAAAAAATCTCCCTCCACTTGAAAACCAAAGTCCCAGAGTATACCATCTCTCTGGACATATGGGACAAGTAATACAAAGTGTAATTAGTATATACCAGTGTCTTCTCTGGGGCCAGCACTAGACTTCCTCTCACAGGTGGATGAACTACTGTACAGAAAACTAAAAGCACTGGAAAAGTGGAAGGAATGGCTTAAAGTAAATCGTCTGCACTATCCTGCAGGGCATTCGAAAGCTCTAAACAAAGACATAATCTACTGCTGAGCTTTAAAGATAGAGAAGGGGAAAAGTGTAGGACAGTAAATTTGGGGGAAAAAAACTAGAGAGATAAGACATTTGTGGGACAGAGTAGATGATTTATTACCTGTTGATGATGACATGTACAGTATTCTCAACTGGGCTGGACTGAGGTGTATATCCTGCTGGGTAAAGTCTCTATCTAAATGATGTATAGTGATTGAATGCATAAATAATAATAAATTTAAATATATTAATTAAATGGTTAATTTAAATAAACAAATAAAAAGAAGAAACCTGAACGTGTGGTGCTCTACATCTGAAGCAAGGTGCTTTGTTTCCCCTGTAAAAGAATGACCACAGGGACCAGCAGTTAGCCTAATGGCTATGTCGCTGGACTCCCTTGTAGTCGACCGTGGTTCGAGTCCCAGACCCGTTGGCTTAAAACTCACACCGGGCACAGGTGAGTGCGTGCCCAAGATCCCAAGAGGAGAATGAAGTAGAAGGGATTGTGGTGTGGCCATCCTCCTTGGGGGGTGATTTCTCGCTTTCTGTCTCTCTGTCTCTCTCTGTCTGGTGAGCACACACGCTCTATAGCAAAAACCTCTCAAAAAAAAAAAAAAGAAAGAAAGAAAGACCACAGAACAGCTCAAGGCTGTAGCAGTTCTCCAGCAGAGATGCCAACTTTCTGACCCTGACTTTTATCTGTCTGTCCTTTCTCAATCCACAGCTCTTCTGCTCTGGGTTCCCTATCTCTTCACCCCTGGACAGGGTCAGGAAAGACTCTATTCTTTTTCTACATCTTTGTTTCTTATCTTTTTCTAGATTGTTCCACCTTCTAAAGCCAAGAAAGTATTCATTACAAAGGCTAAATTCATGAACAGGATCATGACTATCACCTATCCTATACTTTTATAAAGAATGGTAGCAATGCAGATACTTTATTGGTAACAATTTTCCATACAATGATTTTCTTAAAAGTCCAGATGCAGCAAAGTGGAAATACGGATTTTAGAGTCAGCAGAGCAACATTGTAGTCTTATCTTTACTGTTCATGAACTATTTGACCTTTACTGAACCCATTTTCTCTTTTATTTTCTAAAGCATAGATGACTATTCATTCTACCTACCAACATTTGTCAAGCACCTCTTATATGCTAGAAGTTATACCAGTTACTAGGGATACAGTAATAAAAGATGGTGTCCTTTCCATAAAGGACGTCCAGTCGGAAACACAGACAAATCAGATTGATAGTGAGAAGAGACAGCATGTACACATAGCACCTAGTGAGTGGCCCTGACATAGGCTAAGCCCTAAGGAAACATAATGGAGATGAACTATCTCAAGTCCATCTAAGCTCATGAGCTAATCTGTGGCGTAAAGCAGACAAAATTTGCTAATTTGGCACCAGATCTTTCCAGTGTGATATCAAGTCCAAGATGAACTTTCATGAGTCTAGAGAGCCTGTAGCTGGATTGACAAGGCACAGGCATTTACAGCATTGCTTCCAAATTGTCTCTGAATTTAAGGTTCCTAATCAACAAATAGGGGGAAAGTATTTAGATTTACGACATTCTCTCATAGAACAAGTCTGAGCAGGGAAAAGGGAAAATGGGAAGATGGTATGTAAAGTGTTGCAATGAATTTGCATATTCATAGGAAGTACGTGTACAGAATTCATGATCTCTCAGTGTGGGTGGAAAGAAGTTCCTTGGTTTGCAATAAATTGGTGGATGAGCACACTAAACAATTTGCAATGTGAATTTTTTTTAGGATACACTTTACATTGATCACCATAAGAGAAAGTAACAGAAGAACTAGTATAAACAGTCTTAAAAGTACCCACATGTTTCACATAAGTTACCTATGGCTTTCAAAATTTGAGGTCATGACACAATAAAAAACAGATCTTATTTATCACTCAAAATGTGCAGACATAGGTATAGATATAGGCATGCATATATAAAACTGAAAAACCTATTTCATTATATGCAAAAATATTTGTATATTGAAATACTTACAAAGAAGACACTCTGCTAATTCCAATATTTTTATCTTGTATTTTACTCTATTCTATTTGACATTTTCTCAAATACAGGTCTCTAACCATTAAATTAAATTCACAAGCCTCTAACGAATTATAACCAGCAATCAAAAAACAGATACGCTGTAAGATCCATTTTTATTTTCAAGTTGAAAAATGTTCACTTTTCCCCTAAAGTGGTCACTTTGATCCTTTCTCTTTGCTATTCTTCATAATTAAACTGAAATATCAAAACACATATATCAGTGACAGAAGTTTTCAATTAGCAGTAATCGTGCTTTCAGTAAACCTCGTTGACTGCAATACTGCAACTGTGCAAAGCTTGAAAAGATATGTACATTCAAATAACAGCACCAAGGCTGAAGGTAAACCCAATTCCCCTTCATCTAGGGAGAAAGGTTTAAAATGCACAAATGGGTACAAATTAGCCAAAGAGAGACATTTGCAAATACTAACACCTGTTGTCTGAAGGTTGAGGGTAAGAGCCATCTTTACATAGTTCCAACTACTCTGTCCTAGTTCTTTTAATATAGAATGTTTTGCTTAAAACAAACCTTGCTGGAAGAAAGTCAGGCATTTGACACAGTGATGGGATGTGAGATGATCTGTTGAGTGTCAAAATGTCTCCCCAGCCAGTGCAAGGATTCCAAGTCTGCACAGCTCCTGAAAGTGTTCAGAGAGTAAAAGATCTGGAAGTCAGGGCATTTCCACATTTTCTATAGATCCTTGTGCTCTTTGTGGAACATTATGAATAATGACACCCTTCATTTATTTAAATAAACTCAGAAAAATTTTCCTAGCAGAAAATATATGTGTTATAACCATAAGAAAACTTTGAACACAAACTTTAAACTGAGCACAGTTGGCTGGAGGATTTTCAATCATTAATTTACTACAATCATTCATGTTACTACAGCCTAGTGTATGTAACCTACATACCATGTGGTATGATAATTATATGGTAAATGTCCTTCAGGTACTAAAAATGTTGGGGGAGAATGCTCAATGGTGTTACCCAAGAGGAATCACAGTATTCTTATTTTTGCCAAGTTTTATTGGTGGGAAGGGATTGGATAGTTGTTTTTGGTTGGCCCCAACTGGGTCATTTCTCTTCTCACTAGAGAGGGTTGAATGGGATTCCTCCCATCAGAAAGCAAATGTAGCTAAGGCCAAAAGCCAGAGTGCTCTCCAGAGCAGAGAATGAACTCAGGATAAGTGCTCTGAGAATGGGGAATTAAAAAACTAAAGAAGCATTGCCATTATAAGTTTTTCTTTAATTGCAAGAAGCTGTGTGCTCTTGACAGAAAGAGTGAGAAAGCACTCCCCAAGGGGTCATAGTCACATGCAATTCTTTCTCCTCCATTTCTCCATCATGTCAGGATTTGGGACACATACACACACACATATATATATGTCCAGTGAGTTTTTCAAGCTGCCGGGGACTGGGACTTGAACCACAGTTGGTCATACTGAATCCAGATCTACATGCATAGTTCTTAATAACTGCTCTAGGGTCTAGACCTCGCCAACATAATTGAGCATCAATAGCTTATATTTTATAAGACAGAATGAAAGGAGAACATATTCTTAGATTGACTAATTATTTTATTATATTTATCATTATTATTATTTTTTAATTCAACCAGAGAAAGACATACACACACACACACACACAGAGAGAGAGAGAAAGAGAGAAAGTGAAAGAGCAAGTCACCAAGTCTGGATTTGAACCACGGTTGGCCATGTGGGTGTCCAGCACCTTAACCACCGTGCCTCCTGCCAGCCCTAGATCAACTATTAATAAGGACTTAACTTTGAGTTTTGCATGAATCCCAACTGGAATGTTTTTGCAAATACAAATAAAGTTCTTTATTACGTAGCATAATGTATATATGCAGTAGATTATCTCTTGAAAGAATAAAGAAATAAAAAAATAAGGGTGTAAAATCTAAATATTAAGTATGACAAAAAGGGAGTAGATCACCCAGAAGAACTTT